TATTTCCATGTCTTACGTATCCACTTTAAAATATAATAGATGTAAAATAGATGTAAATCAGTTATGGTCATTACTTTTGTCTTCTTAATATTGAACTGTTATCTTGCTTTTGCAATTTCTTCCTGAACTTTCCTCACTAGTTGTTCCAAGTCTTTGCTATTTCCTGCAAGGCATATGGTGTCCTCTGCATATCTCAAATTGTTGATATGCCTTCCCTCGATTTTTACACCAGCATCCTCTTAGTCTAGAACAGGGGTAGGCAACCTTTTTGAGCCGGGGGCCGGGTTGCTGTCCCTCAGACAATTGGGGGGGGGGTCGAAGCACCATAAATAAATAAATAAATAAATTAATTTTTTTTTTAAAAATTAAAAATTAAAAAAAATGCATGCACACTCTCTCAGCCCCAGAAAAGCCATGGCAAAACCCCTGTGGAGATTTTGCCAAGAAAACCCCAAGAACAAATAATAATAACAATAATCAATATCATCATGGTGGGCGGCGGCGGCAGCGGCAGGACCGGCCTGGGGCTGGTTCAAAGGCCTCGGGGGGCCGCATCTGGCCCCCGGGCCTTAGGTTGCCTACCCCTGGTCTAGAATACTTCCTCTGCAACCTTTTGGGAAGTTCAATATGGAGAAAAAATTCTACAAGTGTATAGCTGATTCAATGGTTCCCAACTTTTGTCCTCCAGGTGTTTTGGACTTCCTTGCAAGCTTGGCCAACAGTCAAGAATCATCTGTTGTCATTATTAGATAGGGATATTTAGAATTCTCAGCCAGAGAGTTCCACTGTCTCACCAAACAACAAATCCCAGGTTTCCACAAGAGGTGGCCATGATATTTAGTGGATATATAGCACTATATTGGTGTAGAGTACAGTTGCTCCTATCTGTGGGACTGGTACCCATGGTTTCACTTAACCAAATCCAAAAAATGGTCTCTCTCTAGGCTTCTGGAGGTCCTCCAATGAAACTCTATGGTCAATTTGCACTCAAGGGCTTCCAGAAAACTAGAGAAAACACCTCTCCAGGCATCTGGAGGTCCTCCAGCATGGCTCTGTGGTCAACTTTCCAGAAATATAGGGTTCACTATTATCCACAATTTTCACCATCTGTGGTAAGTCTGGAAATGTATCCCTCATAGAAATGGGGGTCATGCTGTAATGTGAAGAGCCCTAGGTGAAGTGGTTCCCACATTCCAGTCCTCCAGGCCTTTTGGTCATCAGTTCCCTGCAGTCCCAGCCAGCTTGGCCACTAGTCAGGAATTCTGGGACTTGAAGTCCCAAACATCTGGAGGTCTAAAGTTTGGGGGCCCCTGTGTTGCTCTATTATTTTTCTTGATGGTGTTTCCTGACTGTCAGAACCCTATTTCTTGAGCTAGGAAAGAATAATAATGAATATTCCTACAGTCTCTGGTGTGCATGCATGCGTGTGTGTGTGTGTGTGTGCACACGCATGGACATATGCCTATTTGTGTATGTATGAACTTAATCTATTTGCCACATGGGGGGATTTTGATTGGAAAAATGGTCTGGGGAGAGGGTTAAAGTCTTCCCTTCTTCCCTGCTGCTATTCAAATCAAAGGAAATGCAATCTCCAAAACTGCATTTCACCCCAAAAATTCATCTCACCCCCCTCACCCCAAAATTGCATCAGTCAATGGGGGGACGACAATAGGCCAGTGAATCTGCTGTAGATTTTAAAAGAGCTTGCTAAGATATTGAAACATTTCCGAAGCTGGTTTCAGCACCTTAGACAGCTCCTTTACAGTTTAGACATCCTTTAAAATTTGGACTAAAACCCAGAGCAGATTCACCACCATTACAACCCTGACATGGAGACCGGTAGCTGCCAGAGAACTCAGTCTTTTTTTAAAAAAAAGGTTGCTGATCTATATGAGGAATGGTGATGATGATTACAAATTCACCACATATAAAAATTAAAAATGCAATTAAAATATCAACCACAATAAACCACAGGACAATCCTCCACAAATACAGAGCTATGCTTTAATTGTGCTATGGTGTGTGATATTTGTTTGTTGTTGTTGTTGTTGTTGTTGTGTGCCTCCAAGTTGTTTCCAACTTATAACAACCATAAGGTGAACCAATCATAGGTTTTCAATGCAAGTTTTGTTCAGAGGAGGTTTGCCTTCCCATGAGGCTGAGAGCATGTGACTTGCTCAAGGTCACCCAGTGGGTTTCATGTCCAAACAGGGATTTGAACCCTCATCTCCAGAGTCATAGTCCAATGCTCAAACTACTATGCCATGATGGCTCTCATGCAATGCTTGTGCTGAATGGCAGTTGTGCACAACTGAAGCAAGACACTAAATGTGCAACTTTCTAGGTGCACAACTCAATTTACTTGTGCATCCATACATGTAATATGCAATACTCCTCCAGGTGCATGTTATGTCCATGTGTGATGCACAGCTATGAGTACTGGCTATTGACACCGCCTGCACAACTTTTTATCTGCAACTGTGCATTGAATGTGGATATTACACATGAAACAGAAATGTCCATCTGTGTCTGTAGGAGAAATTACACGTGTCTGATCTAAGGTTTGATTCCCCCACTGGGTGACCTTAGGCAAGTCACTCTCTCTCAGCCTGAGGATTGCGATGGTAAACCCCCTCTGAAAAAACCTGCCAAGAAATCCCATAATAGATTCACCTTAGGGTCATCATAAGTCAAAAATAACTTGGAGACACACAACAACAACAACAACAACAACAACAACAACAACAACTATTTTGGAAGCTGAGCAGGCTTGGCTGTGGTTGGTACTTGGATGGGAGACCACCAACAGATACCAGATGCTGTATTTCAGGAACTGGCAAAATCATTTCTAAGTAGAAGCCCTGGTGGCAAAGTGATCAAATGCCAGTCCTGCAGCCACAATGTTGTGAGTTCGATTCCAGGGCTCCAAGGTTGACTCAGCCTTCCATCCTTTCGTAGGTCAGTAAAATGAGTACCCAGCTTGTTGGAGCAATTGGCTTACAGGCTGTAAACCAATTAAAGAGTGCTGAGTTCACTATGAAGCAGTATAGAAGTGTAAATGCCATTCCTTTTGCTAATCCTTGCCTAAGAAAACTGTATGAAAAATTCATAGGGTCACCATAGGTCGACAGCCAACTTGAAAAGTACATACACACAAGACGCCAACTGGTTTCCAGTTGGTGGGCCATGGAGTCTCTCACATCACATCTGGCTCAGCCCTGACTTTCTTAAAATGAAAACAAGAAAACACATTAACAGAAGGCATGGCATTTCCTCCTGGGTTGGTACAGATTTTTCAAGCCGCAATGCAATCACATCGGCCACACTCCGGGTTTTATTCTTCAGTCACACACTTTGGTGGGGAAAACTTCACATGGAGATCCCATCTTCTGCGTGGAGAACCCCGCGAGCTGTGCTGGCAGAAGAGCTTTCAGCGTGCAAAGTGAGGCAGCGTCCATATGGTGGAAGGATGTGAGCGTGAATGGCGGCCCCCAGTTGGAGTCTGATGCTCAAGCGCATTGGTGTCAGTAAATAGAAGCTACTCCAGCTGGCAAGCACAGACTCCCAATTATCCAAGTCACATAGACATGTTCCCACACTGAGCTGAATCAGAGCAAGGCTGCATGACCCATGGAGACAGTTGTTGCTGTTACTGTTTGTCAATCCGTAAGAGAGGGGGGCTTTCAAAAGACAAGTTGAACTGGCTTTTAAATTCCACTAGTCAGTTGTTATTGGTGGTGGTGGTGGTATGTGTCTTCAAGCTGACTCCGACTTATGGTGACATTATTTGTGCATGTGTGTTGTATGTCTTCAGGTTGTTTCTGATTTATGGCAATCCTAAGGTGAACCTATCCTGAGGTTGTCTTGGCAAGATTTCATAGAAGCATAGAATCATAGACTCATAGAATTGGAAGAGACACCAAGGGCCATCCAGTCCAACCCCATTCTGCCATGCAGGAACTCAAATCAAAGCATCCCCGACAGATGGCCATCCAGCCTCTGTTTAAAGACCTCCAAAGAAGGAGACCTCACCACACTCCGAGGGAGTGTGATCCATTGTCAAACAACTCTCACTGTTTGAATCTGTTATGGGATTTATTCCGAGGAACTTTGCCTTTGCCTTCCCCTGAGGCTGAAAGAGTGTGACTTGCCCAAGGTCACCCAGTGGGTTTTACGTCGGAGCTGGGAATCGAAATCTGATATCCAGAGTCAAAGTCCAATGCTTAAACTGCTGTGCCACCCTGGCTCTCTCATTCATATATGTATTCATGTTAATGTGCATATATTTGAAAAGTGCGCACACAAAAATATTCTGTCTAAGGGGGAAGATTTAATTAAAAGTTAATAAATTAGGGGAAATGCATACAAATATGTAGATGAATAGTGATATTAAAATAAATCTTGTTTGCCTCCTGCACAAAGGTGCAGGAAAAGGTGTGGGAGGAAGGAGAATAAGCACATTATATCCCCAAATAGGGATGTTGCTCCCCCATGAAAATTTCCTTCCATGCTCAAATTTCTCAAGCATTATAGAAAGTGAGACCTCATTCAGACACTGAATTTAAATTTTCTGCAGAATAATAGAATCCTAGAGTTTTGAAAAGACCCCAAGGGCTACCCAGTCCAAC